TCCATCAAATATCACCAAAATGCTAAACAATGTCAAGTCAAGCAAAACACACTGTATTTTGGTTGGCGATTTGAGTAGACGTTTACACACATAAATATGCCATGCAACACTCCTCGGGTTTCCCAACCAAAAGTGCTTCAGTTCACATTTTACACTCTTGTCTTCCTCACTGTCTGCAGTAAACAGATCCTCACAGACTCTCCTGTCTGTAGGAAATACATGGTGTTTGTTTGGGAAATGTGGCTGAACTAATCCATTAAGCTTGACCAGCACTCGGCGGAGCGCTGCAGATCCTCATGTCACGTCTCAGATGTTCAGATGTTTTTGTATCTTCTTCTCAAACACCGGGGGTCGAGGGGTCGCTGACCTCAAAACACAGAGGATCTTCACAGACACTCAGCGGCTGGACATTTGCGTATACGTTTCATGTTCGCCGAGGTGGTTTAGGTGAAGGCTTTAGTTCACCCCGAAATGAAACCTCTTGTCATCGTTTACTTCAATCTCGTATGGCTTTCCGTTGAGCACAAAAGAAGATGTTTTGAAGAATGCTGAAGACCAGACAGTTCACGGTAGCCATAATATGAAAAAACGCTATTGAAGTCATTAGCTGTCGTCGGTTGTCTGTTTTCTTTTCTTTTTTTTTTTTGGGTTAACTGTTGCTTTTATTTTTTTTTATTTTTGTAGTTTACACTAGTGCGTATTTGTTTATTCATTCTTTCATTCATTTATTTTCCTATAGCTTAGACCTTATTTATCAGGGGTCGACACAGCGGAATGAACCGCCAACTATTCCAGCATATGTTTTACACAGTGGATGCCCTTCCAGCTGCAATCCAGTACTGAGAAACACCCATACACTCTTGCATTCACACACACACACACACACACATACACTACAACCAATTTAGCTTATTCAATTCACTTATAGCGCATGTGTTTGGACTGTGGGGAAAACGGAGCACTCGGAGGAAACCCAAGCAAACACAGGAAGAATATGCATACTCCACACAGAAATGCCAACTGGCCCTGCCAGGGCCCGAATCAAGGATCTTCTTGCTGTAAAGGGTGATTGTTAACTACTGTTAACCCTCTTTTTTGTTTAAAAAATGCTAAAGTTTTGTTACGTTTACGCCTGGCATCCACACTGAAATAAATTACATTTTAAACCAACTTGAAACATTTATTTATTACAGCTACATTTTTTTTGGTTTTCTCTAAGTATAATTTATATTTGGTTCAAACTATGAAATTTAATTTAATCTAAATCAAAAATATTTATTGTCGTCAAGAAAAAAAGGACATTCGCACAAAGTAAGACTATTGTTTAATATAGAGACACTAAATATATGTATTTTTACTGTAGTCTTTTTGAACTTTAGATCAAAGTATAATCATGCTTTGGACCATCCTAAAAAGTATCCTCATTTGGTAAAGCATAATGATAAATTAATTGTTGTAATAGCGAACGTTTGAATTAGAATTTAAAATGCCACAGCCATATCACCCTGCAGCCCAAGACTGGTTACTCACTGAAGCTAAGCAGGGCTGAGCCTGGTCAGTACCTAGATGGGAGACCACATGGCAAAACTAGGTTGGTGTTGGAAGTGGTGTTAGAGAGGCCAGCAGGGGGTGCTCAAACTGTGGTCTGTGTGGGTCCTAACCAAGCGGCAACCTCCCGCTCTCTCAGGAAGCCAATACGGAAGTAACTAAAACTGCAATTCATCCGAAATTCCGCTAGTCGTGGCCCTTCCTGGCTCCAAAACAGAGCAAATTTCAATTGAGCCCACTGTTATAATGGCCAACTTTACAGCAGAAAAAAAGGTGTTTACAGCCTGGTACAAAAAAAGATTTTGGTTAATACAGCTAATATTACCCTTCATGACAACTGTGAGGGGGGTGAATTTTTTTTATAACTCATCCGTTTCCTTTATATTAAGTTTGCATAATTAAGGGCGTGGCCACTTGAGTGACAGCTGGGTCTCGTTGGTCGCCGTCACATCACCTCAGCTGAATCCTGCAGATTAGCCACTGAACTCGACATATTTATCGCATTTCTGTGTTGTTTTATGTGGCTTTACACAGTCGACTGCCTTTTGGACTTGTTTCCTACAATTATTTGATGGAATGTCATGCTGAGTGCACTTAATTGTGCTCACAAACCATTCACGTGGCCTCCGTTTCCCATGTGAGTAAAGTTATATACTTATATACCATCTCTATACATGTATTTGTTTTATTTAAGATCATTTATCGTTTATATTTATATTTAGAGCTGTAATACACTCCAGAATCTGACGAATTGATTAGCTGTAGGCTCTAGAATAGTCATCTGAAGCGTTGTCATACAGTGTTATGCTGGATTTCATCAATAGTCTTGCATTTACTAACACAGACTATATCAGAAGTGTTTGGATGTAATTCGCGTTTTCCTCCTGTTGAGAAACGTCATAAGAACAATGTTTAGTGGCTCAATGTATTACAGCAGTGTTTTTAAAAGACTAAACACTTTATTGATATAGTGTACAACCAAGCACATGTGGTCAGAATACAAACGAGTCACAGGTGGTAAAGTATTAAGCGTTCTCCCAAAGTAAAGTGTGTCTGAACCAGGTCCAAGCAAAATGCAGCATGCGTCTGTAGCTCCGCCCACTCTCCGCCTCTTTGCCCTTGTTTGGTATCCCGCCGTGGGTGTGATGACGCGCGAACAAAATGGCGACGGTTGGCCGCGCCTACTTGTGGCTTCTTTTGCGCTCTTTAGAAACCTATGGGTGACGTCACGGATACTACGTCCATATATTTTACAGTCTATGGTCCTAACGCCCCAGTAAAGTAAATGGAACACTATACTCTCTGTCAGCGCTATCTTTTGGTTATGTTTTTTGTGGCCTAATTCCCTCTAAACCATCATGGCCTTCAATCATCCCTATCCACTGAATTGGCTTTTTCACTGTCTCTCCATGCCACCGATAGCTGGTGTGTGGTGAGCACTTTGGCGTTGTCCTGTGGCTGCCGTTGCATCATCCAAGTGGATGCTGCACACTGGTGGTGGTGTGGAGAGACCCACCTCGTGATTGTGAAGCACTTTGGGTGTATGGCCATGCATAAATACCATTACATTTAAACGTTTTGTTTTTCCATATGTAAAATAGTGTTTTTTTGTTAAAAGTCTCCCATCATTTCGTTAAAATCTTAGTTAATTAAATTATAATGTGTTTTAATGTTTATAATAGTGCAGATGTACCTATTTTTTATCATTTTAGATTAAGCCCCCCATGGACCAGTGTTGAGAATTAGCAAGTCTGCTAAAACACTTAAACAAATGCATTTGGTTGTCCAGTGTTATTGTGATGTCCATGTCAAAATCAGTAATAATAATAACAATAATAATAATAATAATAATAACAACAACAATAATAATAATAATAATAGTAGCATTAGTAATATTAATACTAATAATACTAATACTAATTACCTTGGTTGCCAGATATGCAGTTTAAAAAAAAAAAATTTATATTATAAAACTAATAAAGGATGATAATAATAATACAAATTATAAAGGATGGCAAATCTGAGCTTGTATACTTTATACATGTTTTTTGTTAACTTGTAGTTTTATTACCTTTTCAAATAACATACTGTAAGTGTGTACATATTTTTAATTACATTGAAATTACACATGGAGGTGGAAACATGGAGGTGTTGACAATTTTTAAGAATATATTAGTAAAAAAAACATACTTTATTGAAAAATAGATGTATAGTATATTTTACAAATAATTACAGTGAACCTAAAGTAGCACTGAAATAAATTTTAAAGTTGGAAGACATTGTACTTTGGGTCGTCACGATGGCACAGTGGGTAGAACGTTTACATGCTCTCCCCGTGATCGCGTGGGCTTCCTCCGGGTGCTCCGGTTTTCCTCACAGTCCAAAGACATGTGGTTTGATGAATTGGGTAAATTAAAAGTGTATGGGTGTTTCCCAGTGATGGGTTGCAGCTGGAGGGCATCCACTGCGTAAAACATATGCTGGATAAGTTGATGGTTCATTCCACTGTGGCAACCCCTGGTTAATAAAGGGACTAAGCTGGAAATAAATTAAATAAATAAAAGCCATTGTACTTTTAATTAAATGGAGGCTAAAAAAAATCCTGCCATTTTTCTATGTTAAATAGCAAACGTTTTAATTAAAATGTCCATTATTTGATGTTTTTGCAATAGCTTTACAAGGTTTTATAGCTATAATCCAGAATTAAAGTGTAAAAAATATGTCTTTCATGTTTCACAGGATGTCATGTTTGTATTTATATATTTTATAAAAAATATTTTATTTTATTTTTAATATTTGTATTAACTTACAACAATAATGTTAATGCAACTCTTGGTCTAATATAGTCTTATTCTCATTTTGTACCTTAAAATGCACTGATAAAAAAACCTCAAATGTGAAAAATAGTTAGATGATTTTAACATTTATATAAATTCATAAATTTTATTTACAAAAATCAGAATTATTTCCCTTTTTCATAGTAAAATGTTGAATAATCCAATGCTTAATCACTTTTTCAACAATTCTGTATATTATTTTTGTTGTATTGCTTTGCAAAAATTGGCAACGTTTGTTTTACAGCATCAAGAAGACTCAACTTCAGCCTTCATATCTCGTTTAATCTCAGACTCCTCTAGAAGAAACAGCAGAGACAATAAAGAGATCACTCATGTTTCTTCTTTCCTACAGGAGCGTCTCCACTTAATGTGTCTTTGTGTGTGTTTCATTGGCGTATTAGAGCGAGACCGAGCTGCAAACCAACAAAAGAAAAGGAAGCCAAAAAGTTCCTTTAATCTGCATGTTTATAGTTGTTCTTCAGCAGCGTGTTTGAGGAAAGTCCCTCAGCTTTGTTTCTTATTCTTGCTCCGTCGAGACTGATTAGAGGCCAGAAGATTGGGTTACCTGATGTCCTCCTTGTGTCTCTAACTGCGGCTTCAATCTTGTTTTTTTAGGGAAGCACGCTGAGGAAGAGGAAGATGTATGAGGAGTTCCTCAGCAAGGTGTCTATACTCGGTAAGTCAAGAGATTTCAGTCTGTAAAAGCACACACACAGCTCAATTAATAAACACAACAAAAAGGAAAATGGCCAAATCATTTGTCAAACGGTTCTTGTGGGAAAGGATTACATTAAATAAAGGGACTAATGAGTTAGTTATCATAGCATATCATAACATTTATAAATCCTTAAATATTAAGAAATAAAAGTGCCTTGTTATGTTTTGCATCTGCATTATTGTAATGTGATGTACACTGTAAATGCGAATAGTATTCCTTACTATCAAAATTCTGTGTGTTTACTTAATTTTAAGCTAATTGTTGAGTTTACTAGAAATGCATTAGTGTTGCTGACATAGTAAGGTATAAAGTTCCCATAACTAATGTAATTTGAGTAAAATTGCTTATAATGGCTAAGCCATGCTGTTACGCATGCGTACTGGGTGGTGATTTCCCATCCCCCATCCCGAGTCACAACCAACCGCCACCCAGCACCGCCATCAAAGGACAGGATTTCATATTGAGAAGATGTACTGCTGTAAATAAAGGTAAACTTTTCATTTTAATTACTACTTTGATTATATTTGTATAGTATCAGTAATCTGTTTATTTCCTGCACTTTGTGAAATTGTTTGCTGTTTTGTTAACGAATTAATAGCCCATGATTTTGTGACTAAACGTTTTGACCACTGCACTTATTTGCAATACTGTCTACTTTACTAGATAAGCTATTTTCAGCTGCTTAGTCCTTTTTAATAACTATTAATAATTTGTAAAGTTGGTAGTAATTTGTAAAGTTGGCGTTATGCTCTAAAAGAGCGGGCCGCGCCATTTTAAATGATCATGCACTGAGAGAGCAAGAGCGCGCGCAATGATCCATTCAAATAGATGTAACAGTTAACGTTAACACACAGCTGTAGGTCTTCATTTTAAAAGAAGAAAACGAAACCTATTTGGCCGCATTACAAATACAGTAGTTATCGCTGAACTTTCGTGGCGCTTGTTGTGACGAAAATATGCGTGTTTTTTTTTAGATTAACTTTTAAGAGGTAACCGGCAGGAAGCAGGTGAGGAGATAAGCTGTGGTTCGGTCCGGCGTCAGCGAGCGGCTCATGACCAGACCAGTCGCTTTTTTTTCTCCATGATGGCCGGGGCAGCAGCAGTTTTAACCCGCCGAGGCTTTTAGAACATTATATAGCAGTTTCAGCTCAAAATGGACCCGTGAGTGTCGTAAGTAATTTAGGATTTCGATGCGATTGATTTGTGTCACTGTATGAGGCAGATACATATTTACACATGATGCTAAAGAGTGCTTATGCTAACAATCCCTATGAAACTTAAGGTTAAACTTATGAAAATGCGAGAGAGATTTAATTAACTCATTATTTGTTTTATATGCTATTTGTCTGTACTTTATGCCGTTTTGAAGGATTATTCCAGTGTTGCTGTTATGTTATTGAGTGTTTTGTATTGCTGTAATGACAAATAAATCTGACCAGACGCGACTGAATATGTGTGATGGATAACTACGTTAACGTTACGTTAGTGATAAAGTGGTATAACTCGTACAACCAAGCACAGATACATCGCTTTGTTTGCTCAATATCACACAAAGGCATCAACAAACTTTTGTTATAAGCAAACTTTTTGTAAAGAAACAGGCTTTGCCAAACCTGTTAGTTTGCACTTTTAAAGAAGGTTTCACTTATTTTTGACAATTTAGGGCAAATAAATTTGAACAATTACAGTGTTGTTTGAAATGTAGCACACCCTTAGAGTGTTGTGAGTGGCATATTTGGTTTGTAATATCATTATACCCTTTATTTATTTTTTATTTCAGACTACCAGTTTGTGAGCTGATATGCAGTGGAAATGTAAGTTTTGCACTTACACATCAAAGAAAAACTTTTTAAACACTACCGCACAAGACATAGAACATATTCATGAATTGTTCCAGTAACCTTACCTTGTCTCCATACTGAGTGTCAGGGCACTTTTAAATCGTTTAATGCATTAAAAGTACATTTAACAAAGTTCTCAGCAAAAAACTGCATGATCAAGAATAGTCAGAATATTTTGTTCATTTGAATAATCATCTGAGAACTAGTTAGAAATAGGGTTGTTGTGATACCATTAATTTATGTTACAATACTATACCAGCTGAAGTATGGTGATACCAAGTAGTATTGCAATACTGTAATTCATAACTTAAATCCATGAAATAAAGAAAAATGTCAGAAATACTATATTGTATATGTTATTATAGGCCTACTTGGCCTAATTTAAATAATTCCCTTATTGTTGAAAAAAGTATTTGCACATTTCTTCACCTAAAATGTATTCATCCCAGCAAAAAATACATTAAAATAAAGATACATAAAGAAAAGAGCATTTTACCAACAAACCTAGGCTATATGAGTTGGTCAAAATTGTTTCCTGTTGCTATTTTGGGTTTTTCATCTTTTTTCATACTTATTATAGGATAAGAATCCAAAGTAATTCAAAATTTCACTTCATGAGTCATTCTTTTTAATAGATTGTCACGGTTGTTGTACGTATTATATCATATTGACAGGAACAAAAATAAATGAATTCCGATTTGAAATGAACCATCAGAAAATATGCAATAAGCTACAATAAAAAGCGCAAATTCTACAGTTTTACAACCTTAGAAGGCTCCATAGACTATTAAAATACAATGATTTATTGTTGCTAAATCGTGTCAGCATTTTAGTAACTTTTTCACATGCAGCATTTTGTATTGGAGGCAGACTGTTAATGACAATATTACCATTTACAAACTACAGTGGGACCGGCAGTATCTTGGAGCCATAGTATCACGATACTACCATAGTATTGGTAAACTGTGCAATCCTTGTCAGAAAGTTCAGTGTCCTTTTAAAGACATCAATTGAGACAAATATATATTCCACTTTTAATGCGCATAAAAGTAAGGCACACCAGCAACAATGCCATGATTATATTTAATCGGGGGTTGTGTTTATTACTGTTTGGTGACAAGTATAGCTCATGCTTTTGATGACAGGCGCCAGGAGTATTTGGCAGCTTTTATTATTCAAGAGCATTTAACTATGTCATGTTAAAGTGTAACATCTGTTGCTCAATGGCATTGCATTGTATCATTGCATGTTTCTGATTTCTGTTTTTTGTTTTAGAATTTCGCTTAGCCATGTCAATAACACTTTACGTTTTTGTGCACAACAGTGACATCCAGAAGGAAGTTATAAAGGAAACACCAGCTGATACAAGTGCTGCAGAAGGTTTGTTTTCTTTTCAAAACTTTGTGTGATTTTGTCAATTTGTGTTTTTGAATGTTAATAATGACTATTAATGTTTTTGATTGGATCTTTGCAGAATTCAATCGAATATCAGGAAGAAATGTGAGATGCAAGTTCTACGCTGGATTGGACACACACTGCTCGTTTAATTGAAATTAAAAAAAAAAAACAGGAGAAAATTGCAGAAGAAAACTAGAAGAGATTTTGCAACATGTTTATTCAAAGGTATTTTTGTGACATCATCTTTGAATCATAATTTGCATTTGATTGCAATAAATTGCATTTGATGTTTACATTGGGCTATAATGCATGTGTACCTGTCTTTACTTTTTCACAGTCATCTGATGTAATGCTTGTCCGCACAGCAGTTCTCCGGGGTCTTTCAGTCCTTTAGAGGGATGAGTCTAAAGAAATTTTCAGGATGTGTTTTGTAAGTAGTATATTATTGTTTCTGCTTTCTTAGACTGGAAATGAAGCAGTCATTCCAGTTTACTTCACTTATTAATATAAATGTTTAATTTTATAAAAATAAAACAAATGCATTTAATGTAAGTATTTGAAAGTAAGAGGGATGTTATATTATGGCCTTTGGAGCAAGAGCATTGCCATGTTGCAAATACAGCAGCTTGTGCCGTCACAGGGTCAGTTAGATTCATAGGCCAGTGAAGTAATGAATGCATTTCTTTAATTTTTAATCACACTTGTTTTGAAAAGGAGGAAGATTAGCTTGAAAAAAATTCTTAATAAGTGTAATAGCTATGTAATATGATGAGAGAAATATAATTTCCGTTGAAAGAACCTGCTGGATTAAGATGTAAAAAGATAGTGTTAAAAGCCACAAAGTCAAAAGATGCTCCGTATTATAACCAACCCTGTGAAGTCACCTGCTGTGGGATCGTAGATGGCTGCACCCTTGCTCCAAAAGCCATACTAAAACATCAATTTTGTCTAAAATAAATAGTTATTAATAAATTGGAAATCAGTGTGCTAAATAATGCAAACTTGACTGACTGCTTTAATCTAGCAAAACCAAATGCATTCATGAATTGGTTCCCAATTTATTAAGCTTTCCCCACAAAATATTTATATTGATTATGGTCTCTCACACATTTGCATTTAATTTCTTGAAAATGTTATAAAAGTACTTTTATTGCAGTTTTTTATTACATTACAGTGTTTCTTTAATTTCAAAAATTGATTGTTCCTTTAGAATAGTGTTATGTTTTAAGGTTGGAGCAAACATCATTTGGTATATGTAGGAGTAGGAGCTAGGGTTGTCAAGATACTGGAATTTGGTACCAATCTCTGCTGCAATTTTAAGCAGCAAATTTCCTGCTAACATTTTAAGCACTGTTGAGCATATTTTTAAACAGCACTGTTTTGCCATTCTGTTCACATGCTTAACAGAAATGACACTCAACAATGCTCAAATGTTAGCAGGAAATGGATGTTTTTAAAATTTCTATATGGGTTGGTACCAAATTCCACTATCATGACAAGCCTAGTAGAAGCAGTACAGGCAAATCCATCGTGTTGGTCTACATTGGAGAAGGAGCAAGGCCTTCTTATAAGAAGCATTTGAATGTAAAATGTATGAACACACAAATAGTCATGCTAATAAGCAACTAGTTAATAGGGTAATTGGTCCCTACTGAAGTGTTACCAAATTAAGCACAAGGAATTGTAATTTTTTTCACCTCTGCTTTTGGTCTCCTGGCCACTACAGGCTTTATTAGTGCCATTTAGAATATCAAACTTTACTTATTTTTCTTTCTCTATTCATAGGATGTAATTGTAGAGTCGGACTTCAGTGCAGAAGATGTAGGCCTGCTGCCTGTCATGTGTGAAGATGTCTAAAGAACCGCATTATGGATGCAATGTGGGCCTTTATACTGGAAGGAAAAGTGGTTATGGACTTTGCCACATGCAGTATGTCTCTTTTTTTGCTTTGATTTACACACTGAATTCGGACTACCCAAAGACTTTGAGCAATGCATTTGAATTTGTTCAACGTGTGTTGCTTTTGCTGGGAGGGAAGCTTAATGTGTTTTTATCTGCGAGTGCCTATATACTGCTGTGCTTTATGTTTAAAGGTTCAGGTATAATGGCATGTTTAATTACAAAGTGTTGCTTTTTAACATGTTGCTGTTTGCAGTGTTACATTTAGGACTGCAGCATTTTGGTGTTTAAAACACTTTTTTTTTTACCAAAAAAGTGTATTGTGATTTATAGGGTTGTCAAAAGTATTGAGTTTGGTACCAATCAGTACTGCAATAAAAAAAAAAAAAGTCCATCCATTTCCCACTAACTTTGCAAGAACTGATCGGCCATTGTGTTCACATGCTCAGCAGACATAACTGATTGGCTATGAAGGTCATTGTTTTTACCACTCTTCACCACTGTTCACCAAGTGCAAAGATACAAAGACACTGGATAGTTTTAAAGCACTGTCGATCAGTCGATCCATCAGCAGGTAGCTCATATGTTCGCTTCTAAACAGATCAGCTGATCGACATGGCTTTGAAACGCTTCAGTGTCTGTGTAACTTTGTTTGGACTCAGTGAAAAATGGTAAACCTATGACAGTCACAGCCAATCACAGTCATTTCTGTTGAGCATGTGAACTCAGTGGCCAATTAATGGTGTTTAAGAACGAGCTCAGTAGCACTCAAATGCTGGTGAGTAATGGATATTTTTAATATTTCAGTATTGATTGATGCCAAACTCAATACTTTTGACCACACTAATGTGATATTTTCTGTAGGACAATCTAAACTACACAGTCTAACAAATCAGCTTTAAAGCTAAATATCTGTTCCTCTGTGAGTGTCTATATGCTGCCATGTTTAGAGTGCTGGTGCAATGGCATGTTTAATTACACTAATTCACGTTTAAATTCATGTTTAAATACACTAATCTTTTTTCCAAGTGTCAAGTATTTAAAGTTTTTTTGATAGATTTTTAAACATTTTAGAAAACTTGTGTTTTAGGGTTGAACATGTTTATTATATTTTTTGTCTGTATTGCTATTTACAGTATATTACAGCACTTTACAACAGGTTTTTACAAAACTGTATTGTGTACAAGTGTATTGTGATACTAAAATATCACAAGTGTATTGTGAAATTCTGCTATTTTTGTCAAATAAAATGTTTACATTTAAGACCTGTATAATGTCATTACTTGTAAGTTGAACTACATATTTTATGTTCAGTTTAATTGAAGAAAATGTGGAAACCGATTGCACGTAGTTTCTTTAGTTGACATTACTTAAAATGGTGGATTAAAGCAATGTTGAGACTACTAGCATTCAAGATGTTAACTGAACATGGTAGAACAGTATTAGTTAAATAGAGTTAATAAAGTAATCTTACTATAAAATCCTAAGTAAGGTTACTAAATAATGACAAGTATGTTAACTAGAATTTTCTATTAAACTTACTTGATTTTTAACAGTTAGTTTACTTTATAAGTTTTAGTTTTCTTACTTCAAGGCAATAATTAAACTTAAAGATTTCCTTGTAAGTTTATATTACAAAAATAAGGCAATCGGTTTCCAAACTTTTTTTAAGTAAACTGAACATGTTAGAATTTACAGTGTACAAATCAATATTTTTAATATAGAAATACTATTGAAGTCAGAATTATTAGTCCCCCTGTACATTTCTGTTTAACAAAGGGAAGATTATTAACACATTTTTAGACATAATAGTTTTAATATCGAATTTCTAATAACTGATTTATTTTACACATGCCTTAATGACAGTGTCATTAAAATGTCAATTAAAGTGCACAATTTTTGACCAGATACTTTTAAAAATATGAGTATTCAGCTTAAAGTGACATTTAAAGGCTTAATTAGGTTAATTAGGCAGGTTAGGGTAATTAGGCAAGTCATTGTATAATAATGGTTTGTTCTGTTGACAACAGAACAAATATAGCTTAAAGGGGCTGATAATTTTGTCGTTAAAATAGTGTTTAAAAAATAAAAAACTGCTTTTATTGCAGCTAAAATAAAACAAATAAGACTTTCTCCAGAAGAAAAATATTATTAGACATACTGTAAAAATTTCCTTGCTCTGTTAAACACAATTTGGGAAATATTTAAAAAAAAAAATCACAGGAGGGCGAATAATTGTGACTTCAACTTTATTGTTCATTACTTTTTTAAATATGTGGATTACAATTGTCAATAAATGAAATCTCATTGTAAAAAGTTATTTTGTAATTTACTTTATAAGAACTATTTACCGGAACAAAATTCTACACTATTTGTGTGGATTGATGGACAACTTAGTCATACCAAAAATCCTAAACAAAATGAATTCTAAAAAGCTTTAATGCAAACTTTATGCACAGCAAGTTTATTTTTTTAGTCATCATGTGCTGGTGTTTTGGATATCAAAAAAAACATCCTTACCTAAAGATTTCAATACTATAGAAACGGTTATACAGTTGAAGTCAGAATTTTTACCCCCTCTTTGAATTTTTTTCATTTTTAAATATTTCCTAAATGATGTTTAACAAAGCAGAGACATTTTTACAGTATGTCTGATAATATTTTTTCTTCTAGAGATAGTCTTATTTGTTTTATTTCGGCTAGAATAAAAGCAGTTTTAAGGTTTTTTTTTATTTATTTTTTTATGTAAGGTCAAAATTATTAGTTCCTTCAAGCTACATATTTTTTTGGTAGTCTACAGTACAAACCATCATTATACAATAACTTGCCTAATTACCCTAACCTGCCTAATTAACCTAGTTAAGCCTTTAAATGCCACTTTAAGCTGTATAGACGTGCCTTGAAAAATATCTAGTCAAATATTATGTACTGTCATCATGGCAAAGATAAAATAAATCAGTTATTAGAAATGAGTTACTAAAACTATTATGTTTAGAAATGTGTTAAAAAAATCTCTCTGTTAAACAGAAATTGGAGAAAAAAATAAATAGGCCGGCTAATAATTCAGGTGGGCTAATAATTTTGACTTCAACTGTATATCTTTTGGTCCAAGTCATGTACTATTATATATTTTTTTGTTGTCGTTTTTTTAAATGTATCTTTTCTGAACTGTGTTTATTTATCACATTGTTTTGCATAGTCATAGATAGTCTATTTTTATAATTAATTTATTGCTTTTTTACCTATCAACCAACAATTGAATATATTACAACAATATGATGTCAGGCAGCATACATTGTTTTGTTTTGTTTTACTTAAAATTAATAGAAATGATTGAGACTGGAAGTCTTGACACATTTAATTTACAATGGTCATGCCTAGGGCCAGACGGAATCTGCGGACGTTTTTTGCTATTTCTACGGAGGATTTTAGTAAAAGTCTGCAAATTTCTGCAGAATTATTTTAGGAGTATCATAACTAAAACCTTAATATATGAAGTAAAAAGTAATACCTTTTTAACTCTTATTTAATGTTTAAATTGCAAATCCAATTACATTTACTTTATTTAATAAACAAAGCAAGTCTCTCATATAATATCTCTACCTATACAGAAAATAGGACTGTACAAACTGCATTGTACATAAATCTGATTAACATTTTCATATTAGTCAATAATATTACTTTAATTAATTTAAAAAAACTGAATAAATACAGATTTACCCACGTTTACTCAAGTAAATAAACAGAATTAATGATGGCTTAAAATCTGCGTAATTCTGCGGAAAATCTAGGGAATTCTGCGCGCACAGATTCTGTGTGGGCCTAGTCATGCCGCACTTATGTGTGAAGTCAGGTGGATAGGACATGGACAATTTTTAGTCAATGAAAAAAGTTATTTTGGTCATTTTAAAATCCCTCAGCCAAAGTCTGTCATCACAGTGGTTCATTATTACCTCCAGAACTGCCTTGAGTATCTGTGCTCAAAAATGTCTCTCACCTCCAAAATCCACTATTGTTTGTCAACATTGTCTTCTGAGGTGCAAGTCATTTATTATATAAGAAAAAGACAGAGCTTCTCCTACAATAGCAAATTCTGCTATTCGATATTGGGCGGCAGTTAATCAGGTGACAGTTTGGTTCTTTTAGACTTATTGTATAGAAACATTGCATTATTACTGAATCTTTTATATACAATTTTCCAGTTTTGTGCAACAAATTAATTAACATTTTTGCATGGAAACCTTTGAGAACCACTGCTGTTTAACAACTCAGAACCTCTGTCGTCAAAAATCTTTCAAGAGAATCCATTAGTAACTGAAGATTTTGTTGCTGAATTTTAATGAGCCTCTTTAAAACCTGAGTTGCACTGTAAAAAAAGAATCTGTAAGTTATTAGTTTTTCATATTTTAGTATTTATGTTTTTATTTTCTTAATTTTCCACATTTATTTATGCTTTTGAATAGCATTATGGGAGATTTATCTTTCCTTCAAAAACTTTTAACCTTAACAAGTTCAAAACAGTGACTTTTATTAACATTGTAATAGTTTAAAATGATATATTCTATTGTCTGTGTTGATTTTGTACATTATGCTACAAACACCTTGTAATAAACTGCCAGTACATTTGCTGTTATTTTACAGACTTATTTTTATTTTCTTATACATTATATTATTTGAAACTACTAAAATGTCAATAAAGTCACTTTGTTAAACTGTAGAGTTGAATTTTCAACATCAAAAGTCGACAGAGCAGTGATCAACATCCCATAATGCAATTCACAACCGTAAATAAACAAAAAACACTTGTGAATCACAGAATTCAGCAACTGTGTTTACAGTGTACGCTTATTTTTAAGATCGTAGTGTTGATTGACAGACACCTCTGCAGCATGAAACGTCCTCACTTACATTCCAGCGGTTTTGTTTGGCGAGCGAGAGACAAAGAGGAGCACCATTAGGATGGTCAGTTGAGCGCTGACCCCTCGTCCTTCAGCACCCTGAGGTCACTCCTCGCTCTAAATGGGGTTATTAAATGGCTGAACAAACACACTCCTCCTCTGGGTTTCCTCTGTTTTTCTTTCTCCCTGTTTCACAGCCCTGTCACAACCTGTCTTCAAACGATCCGCTCTCTCTCTCTTCAGACCTCTTTTCTTCACTCTTCTTCTCGCCTCTGTTTTTGTTTGCATAAGACTTTTTTTTGGAGATTGTGGTGAAATCTCTGCTGTTTCATAAATACTTGGCACGTTTCGTGGTTTGTGAGGTCT